AAATTTATATTCATTAAATAAAAGTTAAAAAAAGGCTAAAAAATATTTCTACTTTGTTAATTGCTTTTGTGATTTGATTTGGCTGGTTCCAAGTTTCTTGTAACTCATGGGCTCTCTGGTGTCTCTTCTTAGAAGGACTCTGATCCTTTTGGTTTAGGGCTCCCTCTTATGGCTTCATTTAACTTTAATTACTCTCTTATATACTCTATCTCCTAAAATAGGGTGTTAAGATATCAGCATATCAACTTGGGAACAGAGAACATAATTCAGTTTGTTTTAGATCGGTTTCTAGAGATTTACTTTGTTCCTTTGAGCTGAGTGTCCCTGTTTCTTTATATTCCTTATTATTGTTATTTATGTACTTTTCTCTCTGGGATTTGCACATTTGATGAAGTCAGCCCCCTATGCACATCTTTGCTAAGGAACAGGCCCTTACTTAAGTCATGCCTGTTAGATTTTGGGAGCCTTTCAAGACTTTTCTCAGTCTACATCATTTTAAAGGGATTTCAGGATTCCTTTTCAGGGCTTGTATTCTCTTGCTCTATGTGCTGTCAGTCTGCAGTATTGTAGGTTCGCCTTGTGCTGTTCTGAACCTCCTAATTCTCTTTTGTTCTCAGTTGTCTGGAGGCATCTAATTTATGCTGGTTCTTTGTTGGTGCTCCAAATTAGGCAATATGAGAAGCAGACCCTTGAGTAACTCTGAAAATCTAGAACAGTGGATGTGTGAGGGTGTCCACTCTTCTTTTCCCTCTTAAGGGATAATGCATGAGTTGGGAACTTTCTGTCCATTAAATTAAACTGTGCTGGCTTAGGGGAAGGGCCATTGGTGAACTGCAATGGCTTGTCTAATCCACATCAAAGCGATTCTTGACTTTTACTGCCTGGAATATTAAACTTCTTAACTTGTTTCTGGAATTATTGAAAATAATTATTGAAAATAATTGAAAAATGTATATTTTTGTTAGATTGCTAGCTTTTTCAGGGATTGAGCTCTGAGGCTTCCTGTTCAGCCACTTTGCAAATGTGGTTCTTGATCCACATTTCTTCTGAAAAGTCCTATACTCCATCTTCTGCATACATATAATTACACAAAATAGTGTTACATGGTCCCTAGCTGCAAGAGTGGCTATATAATATAATTTTTCAAAATGTGTTTGTTATTAAGAGAAAATTAGAGAACTTATAGCAGTTAGTCCAGAAAACTTAGCTACTTACTATTCACTTATACATACCCTTCCTTCCATAAGTTCATGGAACAGTCACCTTCTTGAGAGAGAGGGAGAAGAGCAGAAAGAGAGAGAGAGAGAGAGAGAGAACTTTAAATTCTCATTTAGCCCCTCTATTCTGCTAAAAGTCCAGAATTCTGGAGTTATGTGAAGTCCTGTCCATTGAATCCTAATATTCTTTTTCAGGTTCATCATGCTATAAAGCAAAAGTAAGTTATCTGGTTCAAGGACATGATCCCCAATTATAATTGTGGCAAAACAAATAAGCAAACAAACAAATAAACAAGATAATCACAGCAAAATACCTACAAAAAGGCCCACTGGCTGCTCTGAAAAGCCATCTTTGCATTGTTCCCGGGCCCGGCTCCCCGCTCGCCGCAGCCGCCTCCGCCGCCGCCGCCGCGGACTCCGGCAGCTTTGTCGCCAGAGCCCCCGAACGCCCGCTTTCTCTCGAGTCCGCTGCCTCGGATCCCCGGCGTGCCCCACCATGTCCGACGCGGCCGTGGACACCAGCTCCGAGATCACCACCAAGGACTTGAAGGAGAAGAAGGAAGTGGTGGAGGAGGCGGAGAATGGGAGAGACGCCCCCGCCAACGGCAACGCCAATGAGGAGAACGGGGAGCAGGAGGCGGACAACGAGGTAGACGAGGAAGAGGAGGAAGGTGGCGAGGAGGAAGAGGAGGAGGAAGAGGGCGATGGTGAGGAAGAGGACGGAGACGAAGACGAGGAGGCCGAGGCGGCTACAGGAGGACGACGTGGACACCAAGAAGCAGAAGACCGACGAGGATGACTAGACCGCAAGGCAGAAGGCACCCGTGAACCCGAGGCCGCCGTGACCTTCCACCTCACTCCCGTCTCCCCCAACGTGTGCACCTCCGAGTAGAGGCCGCCCGCGCCCCTGCGG